TTTACTTTGTTACTATTAAAAAATTATTACTAATAAAGATATGAGCAAGGCCTCACCTTAAAACCAAAAAAAAAAAATGAAATTAAAGTATTATATAAAATAATATATTAGTTAAATAAATGTTCTTTGTATCTCATATAAAAATTCTACTATACAAGTTACTATGTCTCACTGCTTATAGTATTCCTATAAAATAAGACCCCATAATTAAGACCCAGATACAAATCACGAAAACTCTATTAATCAAATATGGTTTTTTCAAAGACCTAAATTGCTTGTAACGATGAAGATATTGATCATAAGGTAATATAACTTGTGTTTGTATATCAAAAAAATTATTATACTAGCTACCAATTACACCTAAAATTACTGGCAAGTTTGTTCCAATGGTGCATTTTAGAAATAAAGGTCCATATCATACGCACCGCAAAGAAGTTCATAAAAGTTATCAAAACCAATGTAATCACAATAGAAAGCCCAATAGCTGTATAAAAATTTATATTAAACAATATAGCATAATCACATAATAATCATTTATACACTTCTTTATTACATACCAAGCTATAAAGAATACGTTCACCAACCCAATCCCAGAATTTAAACATATTTGCGAGATCGATTCTGAATTTTGAGACTTCTGCAGCATTTGTCAAAAGCGCTACAAAATATTTTGCAATGTATGCACTCTAAAATCCAAATTAAAAAAAGCTACTCTATGAAGCGTAATAACCTGTAAAATAATGTACATAAAATTAACCAAAATAGTCATTAATTAACAAATACTAATCTGTTAAATTAAAAAAGAGCGAAGTAGAATACAGTATAATTAATTTAGACACAATATTTATATATAAATAAATAGCCTAGTAAACTATATATATATATATATAGCCTCGCAATGCAGTCTTCTAACTTTTTCTTACCTCCCCAGTTCACTATTAAACAATCTGCTTCTCTAAACCTAATTATAACATCTTTTACTGATTGCAACAATATTGCATACTCCTAGTAGACAAACGGA